TGGAGTGGAGTGGAGTGGAGTGGAGTGGAGTGGAGTGGAGTGGAGTGAAGTGAAGTGAAGTGAAGTGAAGTGAAGTGAAGTGAAGTGAAGTGAAGTGAGTGAAGTGAGTGAAGTGGAGTGAAGTGGAGTGAAGTGAAGTGAAGTGAGGTGAGGTGAGGTGAGGTGAGGCGAGGCGAGGCGAGGCGAGGCGAGGCGAGGCGAGGCGAGGCGAGGCGAGGCGAGGTGAGATGAGGTGAGGTGAGGTGAGGTGAGGGCGTGAGTGAGTGAGAGAGAGTGAGTGAGAGAGAGTACGTGAGAGTGAGTAAGTGAGAGTGAGTAAGTGAGAGTGAGTAAGTGAGAGTGAGTAAGTGAGAGTGAGTAAGTGAGAGTGAGTGAGTGAGAGAGTGAGTGAGTGAGTGAGCGAGCGAGCGAGCGAGCGAGTGAGGGAGCGAGTGTTGAGTGTGAGTGTGAGTGCGAGTGCGGGTGTGAGCGTGAGCGTGAGCGTGGGCGTGGGCGTGGGCGTGAGCGTGAGCGCGAGCGTGAGCGCGAGCGCGAGCGCGAGCGAGAGAGAGAGAGAGAGAGAGAGGAGAGTGAGCATCTGAGAGCACGCCTCAGAAAGCACAGACTGCTGCGCCTGCCGTGCAATCTGCACTTCGAGGTTCACTGCCACGAAATCCGCACTTCAAAGTTCACAAAGCGCTGCGCCCGCCACGAAATCTGCACTTTGAGGTTCACAAAGCGCTGCGCCTGCCACGAAATCTGCACTTCAAGATTCACCTGCGGCAGCCCTGGCCCTGACAACATACAAATACCAAACGCAGCTTTCGCGCGAGACTTCTCCTGATTTCTGAAAGCAAGCCACATGTAGAAAAGTCACAGTTCACTGCACCTGTTACGAAATTGGAGCGCGTCGAAGATCACCACCATATCCAAAGTGCCGCGCCTGCCACGAAATCTGCACTTCGATGTGACACCGCTCCGAAAGTCGATTTTGGACCACCACGAGGTTTCCCTTGCGCCTGCCACGAAAAGTGACCATGATGTCCGAAAATAAATGCACACGGCACCACAACGAGAGTGCAGTCGCGACAAGCACCCACTCCAGCCAACCAGATTTTGCGAGCCTGCGGCCCGATGCAACACCTCGATTAGACACCGGTGCTTAACTACTACTGTAAGAACCCCTAGCGTGTCCACACTGTTTGGGGAATATTTTGTTAACAATTAGCCTAAATTTAAATAAAGCTAAGAAACTTTTCTGATGCCACCACACCCTAAATAAAGCGTACCCCAAATAAAGCTAAACAATTTAGCTCACTGAAAAAGAAACTTGTTGAGTTAGTATTGGGTCCTTTCATTGCTTTGTCAACAGATTGCTTCTTTGGATTCCTTCTTTATTAATTCCTCTTCATCTTGCAACTGTATTAATTCAACTCCAATTCAATTCTAATTCAATTCCACCTTTAAATTCAATTCCAATTTAAGCACTTATTGCCCGCTATTTTAATATTTCTTTTTTAGGGATCATTTCATTCTAGTGTAAAATATATGTTTCCAATCATTTTAATATTCATTTCAGTAAGGGATCATTTCATTTCTAATTTATATTCTTTCTTGGTACCTGGGATGAACTTTATTGATGGTAAACCAAAAGTTTCAAGATTTACCACCCCCGTACAGAGGTCAACATTGGTTGCGTTGGCCTGCGGTCAAGCAACATGCTTTATCATGCTTTATCCACGTTTCACGGTGGATTCGAGAGCGCGAGTGATCGAAGAGGCGCAAAGGCTTAGTCGCTAGGGCCGATAGCCTGTGTTTGCAGGCTTAGCCACACGACTAGTGACAAAACACAAGTGCCGGTAAGCCTGTAAATTGGCTACGCGCATGAAAACACAGCTATAGGTGAATGTGTTTCACCCGCTTGGTGACCCTTCCCATTCCGGAAAATAACCCAAGCGGCTCAAAGTCAACAGCAGTGGCCATGCCATCTCACCTTGTAGGTGGTAGCCTGGGTTTTGCCAGGAACAAGTGCCACGCTAGTAGTAACAGGTGCCTTACTAATAGTAACAAGGTTCGCTGAACACGGCCATATTTGCAGTTTTGGAGCTGAGGTGTCTCACTGATGGGTGTTGAAGGTTTTAGAAAACCTTGCGTGGAGATGTGTGGAGCGGGTATTGGACGAGCTGATCGGTTGGAAATATTATGCGCAACCTTTAGATAGTGAGTTGTTAGCTTCCTGTGTAGCTCGCATCTTCATCATCTCTTCCAACCTTGAAACATCTGCCTTAAGCTTGAACAGCCTAGAATCGACTCACCTTCGTGAACACTCAAGCACAACTTCCACTTGATGGTCAAACTACCATTCTCGCCCGAAGCTGCAAAACCCACCCCCATACCTGCCCGCTGTCTTTTCTTCCAGAATCTAAGAGTAGCAATGTTCCCTCGCCTGCACTGTACAAACAAGGCAGTACGATTAACTTGATGTAGGAGTTGTCCCCAAAGAACAGTGTACTTCCAGAAACTTTCGCGAACCTAATGGGCAATTTTTGCGATGGGGTATTGCTCTGGACCTTTTGAAACTATATATATATTCCTTTTGTACCCTTTCACAGTCTTATCAAACACTCGAGAAATAACTTGGCGACAAATATGAAAGGCCATGGGGGGCGCGCAATGTACAGGCACCTGTTGGGAAATGCTGATATTGTGAAACGCTGCATGTTTTCATTCGACTGCACCTTGCCGAGTCACGAAATGTGGTGGCACCAACCTGTATCGTTTGCCAGTCCTTGGAACACAAGGAGGTGTGGAGTCGTGGAGCAATTTGGAGTCTGGCTAGCCCTTAAGACACCTAAAAACTCAAACACGGAAGGAAGACAGGAAGAAAAGAGCGAAGAATAGTCTAAAGATTGAGTTTCCTCAGTACTCTACACAAACAAGAACATGTCTGATTAGTTTTGCGTGTTCTTTTTATGAAGTGATTGCAGTGCTTTCGGCTAAGCCAATCAAACTGTTTGTCGAAACGGCATGAGCTCAGCAAGAAGTCTGGTGCATACATTGGCGATATTACCACAAGTGTCAAAAGTGTATGCAATTGTACTGGGATTTTCCAGTGGGATCCTGGAGAGTGATCAAACCAGAACGTCGTACACAAATCGCATCAGGCTGCGCAAGCCCTAGGTCTGCGGAATCCCAGAACGTCCTGGGTGGCAAGCCCGAGGTCTTCCTGTGAAGGGCAATGAACTTTGTCAGTCAAAAGCGTCAAAAGGAATTGTAGGATGCAAAGTGTTGATATGAGGTTAGTTTTCCACGCGTTGAATCACTTCCGTCTAATGCAAGTGGTGTCATGAGGAGATTGTGAAGGAAAACATGCGAAGGAAACGCACAAACCAACAAAGGCTAGTTTTGTCCCTTCATGTAATCCAATAAATAAGTAACACGACTGTTTTGTCTTGCGGCGATGTCAAACGCCAATGCATTACTGAAATAGGCCATAGACATGATATGAGCAGAATCATTGTATGATGCCAACAAAATGTTGCTCTGCCTGCAGCTGCTGCCACAATGGCCACTGGCGGAGCCAAGCCAAGGTTGCTGCTTTGCCCGGCAGCACTAGCAGTGCACCTGATAGAAGGGATTGAACTCGTCCAAATAACAACTCCAAGTCCCGCTGCAAACATGTCAGATTACTCTTGTGCAGGAGATCCTAGCAGTGTTCGCCGGACCCAGGCTAACTCTGTGAATCTTGAAAATGAAAAATGCAAAAACAATGCAAAAACAACTACAAAAAGCAAAAGCATAACAAACGCAAATCCAAGACACAAAAAATGAAAAAGCAACAGCCAAAAAAAACAAATCAAAAAACATAACAACAAATGAAAATGCAAAAACAAAAAACAATTCCAAAAAGAAACAAAAAAACAAATTAAAACACAAACAAAAACAAAAAATAAAAAAAAAAAAAAAACAAACGCAAAAAAATAAACCAAAAAACAACAACATTTTCCGTTTTTTCGTGTTTTAAATAGAATGTGTTCCATTGTTTTTTCTTTTTTTTTCGGTTTTTTGCGTGTTTTTTTTCTTTGTTTGCCCGCATTTTTTTGTTTTTTCGTTGGTTTTTTCGTTTTTTGTTTTGTTTGGTTCGTTTTTTTTCGGTGTCTTTTGTCGTTTTTTGGTTTTACACCGCTTTTTCACTTTTTTGTTCGCTAGTTTTTTGTTTTTTTCATTTGCATTTTTTCACGTTTTTGTTTGTTTTTTTCATTGTATTTTTTCGTTTTGTTGTTTCGTTGTTTTTTGTTTGTTTAATTTGTTTTTTGGGTGCGTTTTTTGGTGTTTGTTTTCTATTTAGATTTCTTTTTGGGTTCGTTTTTTTGTTGCGTTTGCTTTTTTTGGTTTTTTTGAAAAAGCATCGGAGATATAGCCCAAGTGGTTAACACAATCCCAGCAATGGATTCACGCTGATTATCGCTATTGGGTTGGAGGCCACCGCTAGTAGGCTCCTTTCTCTATCATGTTTTGCATGTTGCCCTTGGTGTAGTTTCAGCCCAATGAGGCCGGGTACCTCAACTAGGAACGATCATCAATGAAGCAATGTAGTATGCAAAAAAATGCAAGAGGTGGCGCGACGTGATAAATGCGTTTCAACAGTCCGTGGAGAAAAGAACTGATCACTGCAAATCTAACCCATGAGGACATCCACTCAGCACTCCTCAGTGCCCTTACTACAATTTGCATTTGCAAACAAGCCATGGAAACTGCACGCTAACACGGAATCAGGAGATGCACCTAAGACTGCTACAGCGCATCCAAGCATGGCAAGCTGCTATGGCGCTTAAAAATGCCTCTGGTAGGTGTCTAGGCTCAAAGCTACATTCTGTGTCACTTTCTTGCTCGGGTTTCGCGCGCTACCGTTTTCATGGTTATAAGCTATAAGAACCTTTAAGCTCATTGAAACGCAATGGAAAACATCATCACATGATTCAGGGATACTCAGATGCAGTTGCGTATTCCAAGTCTTGTAGTGAATCATGACTTTGATGAAATCAGCACGTCCCCGTATTGAAAGAAATGTCGGCTGAACAGACGGTGGCGCCAAGCGACCATCAAGCTGAAGAGCCCGCATCTTTACTGGTATGTGATATGTACTCAAAAGCAAAAATATCCCTTCCAACCTCCGCAAAGGATCTGCAGAACCTTGTCCCTTTGGAGCTTGGTTTGATGCTTGGGTCCTCTGACCCCCGCACAGGTTCGATGTCAAAATCCAAAAGAAACATGACAGTGGGCGTGGCAGGCAGGGTGAAGGCATCAGCCGCTAACAAGCGGGGCGCAATAGAAAATTGAAACAGGTTGCCCGGCGTCTCCAGTTGGAGAGTGGAGGAGAAGCATGGAGAAACCATGAAAGCCCGGACGCGCTAACTCATCCGTACGACTAGGGCTAATTTGCAGCCCTCGCGATGCAGCAGCAGCGGCGCCAATTCCATGAGGATGGCTGCCGTGTGGGGCTTCTTCGACGAAAGGTTCAAGAGGCTGAATACGTTGCCAGAGTTGTCACTACAACAGGCAGTCTCAGGCGTCCTGGAGTATGCCCTGAAGATGTAGAAGGTGACGGCAGAGAAGTAGGATGCCAAAAAGCTCAAGGGCTGCAATTCTTGGTGGGCTGGTTGAGGCCACCAATGAAGGTAGCTCCATCACATGAGGCACTGGCGCCACTGCATAAGGTGACTTTGGAAGGAAGGGGGCGTATTGTTCAAGACAAATCCCGCCAGAAGAAAGGCCAGCGCCCTCACCACTTGGGCGGTCGGCCCGGCCCATGGTCTGCACCACCATCTTCCAAGCCCACATTGGTTGCAAGAGGGACTTGGTTATTGGGCAGCAAGCCGTGGCCCGTTGGATGCGTCCCAAGGGCAGACCAGCAATCAGGTCTTCCAGAACACTCATCACCTTGATATGTTTCAGGGCTGCCATCCGGAAATGAGGAAATGGCCGGTGGATCGCGAAGCCAAACCAGACTTGATTTCCGAGAGGTGAGTTTTCGTCCAGCTGAACAGGGTACCCCGGACGCGCGCAATAACCAGCAGAAGTCATCCACGAACACGAAGCCCCAGTCCACCATGGAAAAGGGCATAAACGGTTCGCAACACCAAATAAAGCTGCGCGCTCGCCATGCCACAGGTCCCACCCAGGTGACCCTGAAGGATCGGGAGTCGGAGAGGGTTTTGGCTATGCAACCAGGTTGCGTCGTGTCCAGGTCGAGGTCTGGCTGGCTGCCACCGTGGTGGTTTGGCAACTTGGCAGCCTTCATTGCCCTGGCAGTGCAAATCTCTATAAGTCTCTTAGGTCGCACCTTCCGACTTGTCCGGTGCAACCTCCTGCCTCTGCTTCCAATCCTTTCCTCCATCCTTCTTCTTTCCCTTCTTCTGGATTGGAGGTCTTCCAGGGATTGGTGTCCGGTGTGGTTGCGGAGTTCCTGCCAGTGGTGCGGGGGGGAGATCCGTGGATAAGGTGGTGGATTTGGGCACCACTTGGCCGAGGCAGCATTGGTCGAGCTTGATGCGAGTATGGTGCAGTTGGTTGGCCCACCGGATGCATGACTTGGTGACCCAGAGGGAGCAAAACGGAGCCAGTGCCAAAGCCGCAATGAAGATGCAAATGACCGTTGAAAGTCATGTTTGTACATTTTCTCCCTTGAAGGCATCGGTCCAATCACTGGCAAAGAATGGTGCACGACACTTCAAATCCTCCCGCAGGCAGACTCCAAAGCGCCATGTGAAGTCCAGCGGGCCAAAGCCCTTCTTTCCGCTGGTGCTGATGTGGCCCGACTGGGCTCGCATCACATTTGCAGCCTCCGTCATTTTGAGATACTGATCCTAGAATCTTCTAAGTCAAGACGAGCCTTCCACCAAAAACAGCTACAGGGAAACAAGTGGCTCCAAGCAGACTGAACTCAACAGGAGGCCTTGTCATACACTGCAAACGTTGAATCTGGCAAACAAAGATAAGCGTTCAGGTTCGAAAAACTTTGCAATATAAGACTTGGCGCAACACCACCAAACAAATATTTGTCCAAGAAAGCTGGCAAACGGCGAACTGGACATCCTCCAACGGCTTAAGCCTTGAAACAAAGGGTCTTGTGCCCCCTGCAGTCTCACACTTGGAAATTGCTTGGGCGTAGTGGCTGAATCCTGCAATCGCAAGAGTCAACGGTCGACAGCAGGCCTTGACAAACTTGTTTTGGCCTGCTTTGGCGTTGGTTTTGTTTTGCAATTCGGGTCAGGCCTTGACGTCAGGCCTCCACATGCCTTGACTGCTTGATGAAGTTTTGGAAGATGCAATCAGCGGAGACCTGCCAAGGGCCAAAGATGGCCAAAG